TTCGTAAACCGAGCATCGACGAGTATGGAGGAACTTCATGAGTTGGATCTTTGGTTCCTCCGCCAGTATTCTAATTTTTGGCGAAGTCGCCATGTCATTTGATTTGCTCAGGAAATGAAATACTTTAACTCGACAACATTCAAGTCGTTCGCTTATTCGTAAATTCCTAGAATAGTCCTTCCATGATCTATAAGTAAACTATGGTAGAACAGATCATCCTTCCTCACTATAAGGAATAAAATCTGTTACATCATGAATATGGGGGATGGAAATTGGAGACTCTGTGCCAGCTAAATTCGCGCATGTTCCTTCGCCAAAATTTCAATTTTCTGGCGGATTCGTTTCAAAATTGTGATTCCGCCAAAGCTTCGAAGTTCAGTTTGATATTGATATTCTATGATATTGAGGAGGAATATTCTCAGATATAATTATGAACATAAAAAAATGGATATACAAGTTGTTTTTGAAATAGGTGCACATATTCAGCACATTGATATGAAACAGTCTAAGGAATATTCCCATGATATCAAATTTTTTCTAATTCTTCTAATTAACAAGAAATTTCAACCCGCACGATGTTCTCTGAACATTACAGGGATTACCTTTCGTGCGCTTCAAGCGATAAAAAAAATTTAAAACAATTTAAATGATTGAACTCCGCCTGATTGTGCCTACCGCATGGAAATTTGAATAGAGGTGACGCCAGATTTGCTACAGTGTAGAACTTTGGGTGGAAAAAGGGGTATAACTTCGAATTTTATTTTGGTCTTTTGGTCCCTGAATTTTTTTTATGAGCACCATTCGATGGTACACGTCGAGCTTTCTCAGTGTTTGAAATGTTTGCACTTATTTCAATGTCATCCTGTATATATAAAGAAATACATTGAGAATTCGCATTCTCTATGTGATGAAAATATCAATTCTTTTTCGGTTTATTCAACAGAAAACAACTACTTTCCTATTGAACATACACGATAAAAATTTGAAAACAATGCATTCTCCTTCATATAAAGATATGAACATAATATCATTCTAATACGATACGAAATACGAAAAATATTTTAAATTTTTTGGCAGACCGAATCGTATAATCATCAATGAGGGGACTATTGATATGATATCAAAATCATCCGTTTTTGGAGTTTTTTTTTTCAGTTATGAGAATTTCTAGTAAAAATACGAGTTAATAATAATATATACAGGGTGGCATTGAAATAAGTGCAAATATTTCAAGCCTTGAGTGGCACCAATGAAAAAAATATAGGGATCAAAATAAAATTTGAGGTTAAACCCCTTTTTCCACCCAAAGTTCCACACTGTAGCAATTCTGACGTCACCTCTGTTCAAATTTACTTGCGGAAGGCACAATCACGCGGATTTCAATCATTTAAATTGTTTGAAAGTGGCGTACTTAATTATTTTCTCGTTTTTTGTTCAATTTTCGGGATGAAATTCATCGTTAATTAGAAGAATTAGGAGAAATCTGATATCATGAAAATATTCGTTAGACTGTATCATATAGATGTGCTGATTATATGTATTTCAAAAACACCATGTATATATATAGTAGAACGAAGGAAAGTCGTTGCTGACACGTCAGAGATAAAACTAGCTTGCTAGTGGGGAATGCAGCAAAGTAAATGTAAACTGATTACAGTTTATCCGATCTTTCGGAAATGTACATTTCCATCTTCAGGGCGACTACAATAGAAATTGAATGTGTACATTGACAAAAATATTATGGATTTATCTCATGGTACTTACACTATATGATGATGATTACAATGGTGTCATACATTTTCTGAAAGTCGATGTTACATTTTTTGGACAGGACAGTGTCACAAAACATTTAAAATGATTGTAAAAGACGACAAAACGGATATTACATTTTTTTTTTACAGTAATTCAAAAATAATGTTATCACCAATCGAAACATTGACAGTTTTGTACAACGCTTCTATCACGTTGGTCAACTTCTCCTTCTTTACGTCTGCCTGAAGATGATTTATAGGTTGAAGTACTATGGATGCAGTGCCTGGCTTACTTAAGGTTTTATAACTCTAAGCCTAACTCTCCTCAGGCAAATATGGAAAGGTAGCAGAGAATCATTTCATGAAATGAAATTTAGTGAGAGTTGAAAGTTCAATCTGCTTAATACTTCATTGTTCAAAATTTCAAGAAAATCGGATTATTAATAACTGAGATATCAGGAAAAATTCATGAAAAGCGGGATACACTGTATAATTTCTTCTCCTTCATATTGTTGGCATTACCTTGATGCATACACATACATGTGCGTGAAAACAAACTATTTTTCACACAGATTATCTGATTTAAAAAAAATATTTACATTGTTTACCACTGAAAAGTCGTGTTTTGTATAACATGACAACTTGTCATTTCAATTAGTACAACGTAGACATGAAGGCTCATACGAGTGCTATTTTGGGACGTTTTCCTTGCCGTTTTTTTTTTTCAAATTATTATCTAGATATATTATAGAAATGATGAATAAATCACGTATACCGAATGACATTGAATTCATTGGCCAGGAAGTCATTCAATTATTTTTTATGTTATACTTTGATATCTGGATCAAAAATATAGTTTCTCAAAACCTAATATTTAAAATTCATATCATATAATGAAAGAACAATTGAATATCCCTTTCAGTTTTACCGGAAATAGAGATGAATAGTTATTTATTATACAAGGGAAAAAAGTAGTAGATTTTACTGATTTTAGCTCCAGGTTGTGTTGTCTCCCGACGCGTAGCGGAGGGAGACAAAAAACCGTGAGCTAAAATCTTATATTTTTCCCGTGTATACTACACTATTTTTTTCTGTGACAGAAGAAAGGACGAATCAATATTGAGAAGATATTATATTATTTTGAAATCTGAAAATTATCGACGTGAAATTTTAAGTTTTTAACAGAAGGGACACCTGCGTTTTAGGCATCTTTATCATTTTTTTGAAGTAATCAAATATCTGATGTCACGTCTGTCAGTCTAATTCTGTGATTTGATTTCAAGAAATGCTAATTTAATGGATGTTCAGTAATATACATCACCGCAAAGTCGAATGGAAGATAAAAGGACTTGCAGTTCTTTCTCGGAAACGGTATTATTGACTCATTTTTCGGAACTATAGCACAACAAAAGCCATCAACAGTTTATATATATATGTGATATATATCCGGGAAAAAAGAAGTCACTTTTTTCCCACGGGAAAAAAGTTATTTATGAAAAGTGACATTTTATAACCTGCCAACAGAGATGAAATGCCAAACTTTTTTCCCGTCACAGAAAAAAAGATTTATTAATTTTTCAATGACATGTCACAAGTGGACATTTTTTTATGACGGCGCAGTAAATAAGTTCTTTGATTAGTTTTTGATGAAACATACGAACATTTTTATTTATCGCCAATTAGGAATTCCTGATAATTCTTTCAAATTACATTCTTTCTCTTAAATCTTCTTCAAAATTTAATGCTCCATAATTGTCGCTGTAAAATGATTTGAATTTATTATGTTATGAACTTATTATTCAGAGACAATCATGGAGCATTATTTCCCTATTTGAGATGAATCAGAATCACGATAGGATAATATGTTTTCTAAGATAATATGATTAATCACTCAATCCATAATTTCAACGTGAGTAAATATATAACGAATAATAAAAATGATGAAAATAAAAACCAACAAATCAAAACATCGAAATTCGAAAAATGATATAGGTTTTACCTAATGGTTATGCCTTGCTGCCAGTGTAAGATAATATTCGATGGACCAGTGCTTTGTCACCCAACAAAAATCTAAATAGCAAATTATTGAAAAATCTCCTAAATGACGAAGCTCACCAAATTGGTACGTCATACCGACGTGATTTTTAGACGTCATAGATACGTCACTGCAACGTCATAAGAGTAACGGTTTCAATATAGGTATACATAAACAATTATTTTTATATATTTATAGCTTGTTGGTTTCCGAGATATACAGTGTGTCCATGAATTTTAGAAAAAAGTTTTTCTACTACTTTTCGGGTATATTAATAATAAAAATAAAACTTGCATGTTGATCTGCTTTCATGAGTTATACTTCTGTTTCACATGATAATATAATATAAGTATCCATGGTTTAGAAAAGGTCTGGGAAAAATGGACGTCGACAATACGTCCCTGCAACGTCATGAAACTGACGTCATCTTTTACCCATATAAGTGACGTTCACTCGACGTCGAAACGATGACGTGATTATCACGTCATAGAAAGTACGTCATAGTGACGTCATAAATTGGTGTGTGACGTCTCTGACGGAATCATGATGATTCGTCATCTGATTGCCTGGGACTATGCACAGCTTATCGAAATAGATTCAGGGCTTCTCGAAGCAGAAATGAAGACTACTATAAACACATGATTTGAAATGAACCAGGTGAAGAAATGAAAACTTCGAGAAAATTTGTTAATAATTCTGTTCAACCCAACTTGTTCAAGTTATTGCAAGTAGCTATTTCAATACCTGTTAACTGTGAAAGGAGTTTCTCTGCGATGAGACGAATAACAAGAGTGATATATTCTTCACATGGAAAAAAATTACCGAAACAAATCGACCCACAAAAGATATTTTGGACATATTTACAGAGAAAAAGAGAAATCTGTCATTATAATTTGATATTTTGTTCATCATTGTTATTTTTGAATTTTTAAGACTTGTTTTCTAACCTCAACTAAAAATATAAATGTTTCTTTAACTGAATCTATTATTATATGATACGAACTCCAAAGAAGCGATACAATAGATACAAAATGTCAATATTTTATGAGTGCTGCAGAGAAATCATCTCCGCATTTTTTATTAAATTTACGTAAGCCCCTCCACCTGAATGAAAGTTGTTCCACGCCAATATTTATACCACATTTCTACTTACTTTTCCTATATCTACCTTGACGTTATTAGATTACAAGACCACAATATATGTATCAACTCACTTTGTTTCTCTGTTTCCTAATGCAAGGACGGTCTTTCCTTCTGCATTTCGGGCATATTATCTTCACCGGGCCTGGCTTCCATGATTCAACTTAAAATATGGCCTGATGAGTTACTTATTGCAGTCGAATATCGAATTGAAAACTTCGTTCATACCTGTGGTTTTGAAAATGCTGCTCCTCTTTTTTGGAGGCACGATACTTTTCGAAGGTATTTTGAACAAACACTTGTTTCTGGAAGCTGGAAAAAGTTCAGCAGATTATATATGGCGTGGCCTAAGGTATACTGCATGTTTTGGCGTTGTACAAAATCTGAGCGATAAATAAACTGGATTTGTTTTTGTTTTAATTTTTACAAACTCGTCAACGATGAGGCTCTGGCAACTTATTCCAAGCTGATAGAACCTTCCCAGACAACACATGTGTGTCCATGGGATGTCCATCAGGGCCGAGATGTCCATGGACATCCGATTGACATCTATTTTGCGAATATACAATGGACATCTGAATTTGCATAAACATTGGATGTCGATTTTGTGTCCATCAGGAAGCGGAATGTTCATGAACATCCAATGGACATCTTTTCTATAGATATTCAACGGACAATCGAATTTGTACAAACGTTGGATGTCCATTTTGGACTTCCATTACGTAGATGAACAATGAACATCTCTGAATTATTACATCTTTGGGCATTTCTAGATGGTACAAAGGACAACCGATCTCATATATCATGTCCAATGGACATGAATTGGATTTCCATTCGCAATCCATTGGATGACTTAAGGACACACATTGGACATCCAGTTGATGTCCAAAAATGCAGACATTTGTCATCCAATGGACATCCAATGGAAACATATTGACAATTGGTGTACAGCCAATGGATTTCCATGGTGTCCCGACATGAAGGTCCATTGGAGTTTTATTGGACATTATTGTGTTATCTATCTAGGTTTGGCGATTGATGAATGGCACCGAGGTATGGTGTCGCTAACGGTGGCTCTGGTAAATAGGGCGACATATCAGCGGAAACAGCCTTAGCCCTATGCAGAGGGCACCACAGGACTGGACCAACCCCTTCCCCCGTCACTCGTAGGAGGACAAATTTTGTCCTTCCTCGTAGACGAGAACAGGGATCGGAAGAGTAATCTTCAGGACCCTGAACGAAAAGGGTCTCTCATATTGAAGTGGCCCTTAATGAGCACCATGTCAGGGATGTTGAGATCTATTATAAAATTTTGTAGAGCATAAAATTTGCGACAAATTTTGTGAGAGAGCGCGCAACGCTCAGCCATATACATATTATGTAGAACACTATTATGGTAACTTTTCTTATAATAAAAGATACATTATTTAAATTAGCAAACTATAGCAGTATTATAAAACAACAATGAAACAGTATTATGAAATAATGAAAAAAATAATTGAACATCGCGTGTTCGACTTATGACTAGAAATACTATATTCTTTGTTTGCAATTGAACTTCTAAATTTGAATAAATAAGTATGAGAAGATTTTGCTTCCAATAAAAAAATACTGATAGTTTTGATCATTCAAACAGTTTTGTAGCATTAAAAATTACGAAGTCACCAATAGTTGCGGACACTTTATTTGAATAACCCTGCGTATACTTCCAAAAATAGGCATATTTTTGTGTTCAATCCATAAGAATATTCATCTTTTCATTCACGACTTCCAATCAGCCCAACTAAGATTTATGAAGAATATAATAACAATAATACAGCTCACTTTTCTTTCTGTTACATTTACAGCATTTCGTATCACAGTCATCTTCAATGGTGAAGAAAGTCAATTCAATGCCTGGATGCTTTTTCAGAAGATGCTCCCCAAGCGGATGGGGACACTTGGGGTTCACGTTGAACTGTTCCCCACATAATTGACATTTCAGCTGGTACTCCATTAATATTGGTCTCCTTCTTTGATTGACCAATTTTTCCGAGGCATTCTGGGGGCCTCATCACAAACGACTCCTCCACATGATTTTTTCTGAAGTTGAGGTGTTTCCCTCAGAACTTGCTAATTTTGATATGTGTCAAATTGAGAGATTTTGGCACAAAAAGAATTCGGTAGTCGTCAAATTTTGTTGCCAATAGTTGGATGAAAATGTCACTAAATCACAGAATTAAACATTGAAAAAAGTAAAGAGTGATGGATGGCTTTTATACGGGATGGACCAAGAAAACTATCCGGACACCTTTCGAACTAGAATACCATGAAATAATGTTGATGGTACGAGTTTTCGCACAGTGGTAAGTATATTATAATAACCCCCAGTAGCACATATTCTTACCTTGACATTCGACCAATATTGGCTGATAGTGCGCGATCATATAAAACTTCGAATGGCATCGAGAATAGTTACAAAAAAATAATCTCTTGTATTCGGCATGACTGCATTGGAGCAAGGAACTAATTTGTTTCTATATAACGAAAGAGATGATATTCTTGTTCTGAAACAATAATTTATTCAACAAGTCTCTTGTAGGAAAATTAGGATATGCATGATTGGAGACATTTGTTATTTTGAAGTGAAAATGGAATTAATTCATATTGACAAAACCTTTTACTCATTTCAGGAAAATCATAATTTTGCGAGGAATGAAATCCATTCACCAAGTAAATGGATTTCATTCCTCGATTTGCAACTATATGGATTTACTACTATTGAGAATTGTTTTCTTTCAGACCAAAATGAACGATTTATTCTAGTTAAAATTCCGTCAATTTTCAAATAACACATTGATATCTTGATCTGAATATGTGAGTTTCTCATAATGAATATTCAGCTCATTCTCTTCAATGGGACTATTTTTTGTATCAAAATATTGACTGCTCAGTTAAAAATATAATAATGTTGTTTTTCTGCAACCGACACAAATAAAGTCGCCATTTTAATAACAAAATTAGCTCTTGAATTGACGTTCCTATTACTGACACAAACATAGCGGTATGTTGCTAGGCAACACTTTTAGTTCCTAGAAGCTGAAGTTCATATTTTTATTCCACAACTACCTCAATGTAATGTAAGGGGAGGAGAGAAAACACTATACATGAGCACTGAGGGGAGGAGTAAACTGGGTAGATCCTTTTATTGTTAGTACTTCTTCGGAGAGACACAAGTAGGTCTTTGAACAAAATAATAATTCATTAATTATTCATTATATTGCATTGTACTTATACATGTTTTGTCAATAACTACATTCATTTTCAAAAATTATTAATCAATTAATTGAATTAATTCAGTTCCAGAACATAAAATATAAATAGATAGATATTTTTATTCAGATGAATTCAGTATAACAGAATGATACCAAGAATACCTATAATCACTTACAAAAATCATCTAGGTCATCTAAACAGAGTTTCATGTTGTGGAACTCCAGATTACTCAGATTTCATCTAAATGATGAAAGAAAAAACTAATATCACAAGATATAGATGAACACCAAATCTAGGATATGTACCAACTACTTTAACTTGATGTAGGTGAGAATATTGTATATTTTCCTTATAAAAATGAGTACACTCAATGTGGATACAAATCACACACATATAGGATCATGACAATTCGCTATTATTGTTGCAGTGGAGCACCATTCATGAAGAAGGTACCTGTGAGAGTTTTGCAGGTTTTCAATATATCTGTGGTGCTATAAAAAATCCTTCAAGATGCTAGAAGTAATCTTGCTGAGGTTGGGCCATTGATGATTTCTACTATAAATCCACGGTAACCTCAGGAGCTACTTTGAAGGATAATTCCAAATTTGCAAACATAAATCTCCACATGACAAAATTGGAATTTTTGTGAGTTGAAACTTCTGTGAGTTGAAATGTTTCTTTCTTCATATTGGATCAGAAACGGCTTCCTGGGGCTGCAGCTATAAGCATATTGTGGTCATATAATATATCTCCTGGTTTTGGTATGGAATGTATGATACCTTACCCACCATGCATCTACCTCCTTTGCAAAGAGGGTTTATAAAGGTGATTATCTGTCTATCTGTTTTCTTGAGATTCCAAAAAGGAATTCAATATATCGCCCTCTACTGTGATATCGCCTTCCGTACGAACATAAGGATCATAATTCTTGAACGTACACTCTGGTCAGTTCTCTTTGCGGATTTTCTGTTCGGTCCGTCTTGACTGGATGGTTTTCTCCAATTTATTGACAAGTATCAAACACTTTGCTTTTCGAATCTGCAACGAAATGTCACATATTATTATCAGAAAAGCATTAATTTGAAATTTGAATCGTGAGACGTAGGTACATAGAATATAAATCTATAAAGTCTAAATATTTTTCTCAACATTTGTAACTGAAATGCGATATATTTTTATGATTATTCATCAATACATCAACTCTCTCGATGCAGACGAGGTAGGCAGATAAACAACGATTTTCTCTGCAATGAAAAACACTGTATATACCTAACCCACCATGCGCCGACCTCCTTTGCAGAAAGGGTTTATAAACGCCGAGTTGATACTCTCCCCTCGTAAGGGTACCTGTCGTGTTTCCATAGAGACATAAAGGTGAATATCTGTCTATCTGTTTGCTTGAGAATCTGGAAAGGGATTCAATATATCGCCTTCCGTACGAACATAAGGATCAGATTTCTTAAAAATATACTCGGGTCAGTTCTCTTTGCGGATTTTCTGTTCGGTCCGTCTTGACTGGATAGTTTTCTCCAATTTATTGACAAGTATCAAACACTTTGCTTTTCGGATCTGCAACTAAATATCACATATCAGAAAGTCCATGAGAATTAAATCTGATGATGAATCTGAAACATACCTGAATAATATTTCCATCAACCGTAACTGAATTGCTTCATATTCGCTCTCCTTTCGAATAGTGGTCTTTCCAGTAGGCATCATGCGGCATTTTGAATTTCTTGGGTTAGAATGAGGACCATGAATGCCAAACAGTGTGCTCCTCGGATCTAAAACTAAGCATCAATTTGAAATTTGAATCGTGCATGAGACGTACATAGAATATAAGTCTATAAAGTCTGAATATTGTATTCAACATTCGTAACTGAAATGCGATATATTTTTATGATTATTCATCAACTCTCTCAATGCACACGAGGTAGGCAGATAAACAACGATTTTCTCTGCAATGAAAAACACTGTATATACCTAACCCACCATGCGCCGACCTCCTTTGCAGAGAGGGTTTATAAACGCCGAGTTGATACTCTCCCCTCGTAAGGGTACCTGTCGTGTTTCCATAGAGACATAAAGTTGAATATCTGTCTATCTGTTTGCTTGAGAATGAATTGAGGAAGGAAATCAATATATCGCCTTCCGTACGAATATGAGGATCAGAATGATGAAAAGTATACTCTCCATGGTCAGTTCTCTTTGCGGATTTTCTGTTCGGTCCATTATGACTGGAAGGTTTTCTCCAATTCATTGACAAGTTTCAAATACTTTGCTTTTCGGATCTGCAACTAAACATCACATATGCAACTAAACATCACATATTTCGAAAAATGATGATAAAAAAAGAGTCAAATTGGATGCACCCTGTTGAAGAGTCGTTGAATATACCTATCGAGTATGAATCGATTATACACCATGGTTCAGAAGTTATGAGCTGACCAGACCAGACCAGATCACAATTATAAAAGATAGTAGACACATCGATGTGTGTATATTTGAATCTGAAACACCCTGTATAGGCAAAAAATATGTTTTCATGGAATGATCTCGAATCTTCTAATTTTCTTCTGGTTTGCTTTTTTCGCATTATTTTCTTCTGAAAAAATACCGTTGTGAACGGAAAGTACGAATTTCAGGAGTATTACGTCATCGGAAAATATTCAACAAACGGTACCTTTGTGATTTTGAAAACATATAAGGTAATTAAGTTGAATATAAACAGGGAAATATGAGGAAAATTTGAGAGAATCTCTCTCCACTCACCAGCGTAAATAATGTGAGGATTTGATGAAACAACACGAAACACCAGAACAGCACACGATGGCGATTAAATGAGGAACACAAATACTTGCACTCTTCACTCATGTTCAAGTGAACACTCCGTTTGGAACGATAAATAATTCCTTTCGAGTATTTTCAATTGCGATCACAAAATTCGACCGTTCGTGATGACATCTAATATAAGACTGTCTTGATTCACCACCTGGTCTCGACTGAATGATTAATAGGTTGAATCATGCTACTAACCGATTAATTTCCTAACAAATGATTCATCTATGACTAATGACAACTATGATGATAATGATGACGATAATGAAATTATTCGGGGGGGAAAAGATATATAGTATACAAAATATAAGATGAAGAATTATTGAACACCGATATACTGGCACCATTATTTTCGAAAGTCTAACGATTTGAAGAAATTGAACACAGACTGAAAATGTAATTTTGGCAAAATTTTCCTATATGGTCTTTACTTTTTCAACCACTGTGCATAACTCGAGGCATAACTGCATAATCAAATTTTTGTTACCATTATTTTTTGAAATAGTGAAAATGTAACGAGAACTCGAAAATATCTAAACTATTTGACAAATTATTCTATGCAATGAATTCTATCGATAGTTTTCTCAATTTGACGCTAATGAAGTTGAAATTTGAGAACTGAAATTTTTCTTACAATGAAATCGAATTTTGAATTACGAGCTCAATAAAAATTCTATTCCAAAAAATGATGATGAAAAAAAGTCAAATTGGATGCACACTGTTGGAAAGTACGCCAATTCATTGAGTTTTTCTGCTCTTTGCAGATATTGAAACATATCTATAAAATTCTGATATACAGAGTGTTGAAAAGAAATATTCTCAGATAAATTATGCACATACTAAAATGGATATATATTTATATAAAGCAGGGGGTTCAAACTTGAACGATGGAAACTTGTGATTTTTATAGACCTCTAATCGCAGATTCGTGATAGAATCTCAATTCAAAATTTCTTTCTACGCCCTGTATGATGAATGTCAATTTATCATACACCCAAAAGCATACAGAGTGTTGTTTTTGAAAAAGAAGAAGTTTTCTGTTTTCCCTG